TAAGCCCAATGTGAGTAAGACACATTGGGTGCGGAACTACAAATTATTCATGATTTTTTTTTGGTATTTATCCAACTTATCGCAATGTCAATACTACGGATTGTTGTGTTTCATAGTCAACAACAGTGATTGCGTGCGTCATTTAAATGTGAACCACTTGAAAGCAAAAAAAAAAGTCCATGGATCGTTTAGCCGATTTTTTTTTGTCTATGTTTAGGTTTCTGTTTGACTCATTGTTTAATTGTTCGATTGTCTGTTTGTAGTTGGAAACAAGAACGCTTCCCAAAAAAAAAACGGTTCGAGTGTTCGGGAAAAAGAGCGAATGAATTGATCGTGATCGCGTAAAAGGTGAATGTAATATGAGTCAAACATATGGCTCTGACATCATTCCAAAATATTTTCACAAAATTTGCTTAATGAATAGAAGTGGGTGTGCACCAAACAACTGAGCGTTTCTATTTAGTGAAGCAATTAAAACAGTTTGTGAAATTAACCACACGGATTTCCGTTCTCGTCGAATGATTTTTTCTTTCATTTTTCGGGGGGGCGTTCTGAAAACATGTTGGGCCATTGTTTGTGCAATTTTTCCCGAAAAAAGATTGCGTTTTTTTTTTGAGTCAACAATGTCATGACATTTTCGCATTGAAGCCGGTTGAACCTGGCTGGGAATCATAAACTCATCAACTCAAATCAACTCATCGGAAGTGTTTTTTTCTCTGTGTTTCGAACAATAATATTTTTCGATTGCCTCTGCCATTGTTCAAAACGGTGCTGGTTTTTTTTTTCATCTCTATTTCGTGTGTTTGTGTGCTCCTTTCGTCTCCCATTTTTTTTACGGCAGGTTGTAATAATGCTAAATTTAATTATGCTAATGGAAATAGGGAGAATGGAAGATTTGAAAGTAGCAGCAGCAGAAGCAATGAGAACGAAAGAAAAAACCTGACGAGAAACGAAAGATAAGAATGTTGTTATTTTCAATTAGGCACATTCAACACAGAACGATCATCCGCTCACGCTGAAACACACCGGATTATTTATGTTCATGTGAGCCGTGTATATGTCAATTGTTTAAACGGAATAGTTTTGCTACTTTGACGATGTATTGCATTTGCGGCTGTCTCTCTTGCTCTCTCTCTCTCTCTTCAACTGTCTCCCATCATACAACGCTCTATCTGTCCCTACCACCCTGTCGTCCATCACACAAGCGTATCAATGCGGCTAAAAGCAATCTTCGGGCCAAAGCAAATTCAAATCCATTGGTTTCCTTTTGTGTGACGCGATTGACAGTGCTCAGCTCAACAAAGGAGAGATGAACGAAAAGTGTTCAAATAATATGCATAGCGATCGTATTATTGTTGTCTTGTATTTTCTGCACAAAAAGAAGAAGATTCAGCGTAATAGAATCTATTGTGAGGCAAATGAAAGGAAGAGGAAAAAAAACTGTTTAACTTGGTGTAATATTTTGTTAAATGCACACGTATCTATTGAAGATTGGAAAATGAAGCTCTGAGAAATCGGCAACAACAAAATCCCTGAAAATCGGCATTTTGAAGAAGCTTGACTGACGTATTAGTTACGCTTACGATCTTATCTCCGTCTCAGGAGAGTGAAACGCGCTTCAAATCGTTGTTAATATTTTTGTGCATTTGACAAACGGAACAGCCGAAGAGAGCGAGAGAGGGAGAGAGAATATGATGAATGGACAAAAGAAACAGACAGAATGAACGAAACGAAAGAAACCTATCTTCAATCATTTTGGGCTCTTAACAGCTATTGTGTTAATCCCATTCATTGGATTTTTAGTGGCACTGATCACTACCGAAGCCAGTCAACAACAACAACTCATCCACAAATTGCACGAAATGAATGTGTAGCAATAGCAATAAATGTTGGGTGCTGTTTTAAAGCTGTTACAAACAATATTTTCACCTCGTTCCCCGATGAATGAAATATACGTCGTCGAAATCGACGAATGATGGAAGGAGTGAAATCCACATTGGATTCTTTTGTCCGCTCAAATCACCGTACTAAATTTTTTTTTCCATATTTACATGTCAATTTTTGTATATTTATTGAAAAGGACTCGCTCTTTTGCACTTTTGCTCTCTCTCTCTCTCCCTCTCTCTCTCTTCATTTCGAGCGTAACAATACATTTTGGCCAAATGGACAATGGCCTTACAAATATTTTTCAATTATTTCGTTTATTGTTGTTGCTTTGGCAAAAACCAAGGAGAGATATAGAGAGAGAGAGAGTAAGAAGAGAAAAGAAGTTTGTTTTTGTTCGCTAAAGTGCCAAATTAGTTTTATATGACTCTTCTTCATTCATGTGTGGCAGTTATAGCATTGACGTAGAATTCTCTTGCATTTTGGCGCTTCTCATGCCATTTTACGATTTTAATGATTTACAATTGGAAACATTCGGAAAATGAGCCTTCAATGCGCAAAGAGATAAGTTTCAATGCAAGCAAGAACCGAATGAAAAGAAACACACATTTTAAATTCCGACGATAGATGTGCTGACAGATAATAATCCAGTTCATTACAATGGAATAAAAACAACATACAAACAAATCACTGGAATATCTCGATGTATGCTTTTTTTTTCTTCTGCCCTTCGAAAAGATCGAGTACCGTCGATAGGATTTTCGAACTGATCATATGAACACTTATTTCATCGTTGTCCGATTGCGCTTTCCGCTTTGCTCTCTAATGGGAGCGTTTACCGATTTGTGTGCGCTTTATCGCTTTGTATTCAACCTCCGAAAAAGACCGAAAAACGCACAAGCAGAGAAATGGGAAAAAAAATGTGTATACCTTACAAGACCACCATACAATGGCATGTTTTTAATAGATTACATGCGTTTATGTCGTCGGGTGCTCTAACAATTTGATGATTTCATTAGGAGTATTTCACAATAGCTCTGGCCATTGTACATCTTTTCCGACATTGGTATGAATTATTGAAAGGTGCCCTTTGCTAAGATGTAGGTAAAAAATAAACGAAAATTCGGCAACTACTTGGTTGGTTGTTTTTCTTCTTCCTCGTTTAGCCTCTTATAGCTAATAAAGATGTGAACAGTTGGATTGACGAACGAAAATGGAATGACAACGTCAAATCAATGCTATACACATAATATAGCATCAAAGGAAATGAAGATTTGACATGGATATTTACAATGGGCCCATGAGTGACACCAAAGAGGAGTTTTTTTTTGTTGAATTACCAAAAAAGGAGTTTTTTTCTTCTGCTTGTGTTATGAACAAACTTCCTAAACTCAATGAATTTGCACATTGAATAGGTTCAGTGGAGAGAGAGAGAGAGAGAGAGTAAAAGAGGCCAATTGGCAATAAATTCATATTTGAGGATAAATGGACTGTCAAAAATATATATATCCCACCATCGATGCAACTGCATCGGTTGCATTGTGAAGACGAAACGAGCGAGAGAGAGAGAGAGAGAGAGAGAAAGAGCGAAGTGTGCATGCGACCGCCACTTAAATGATTTTCAAATGGGCGGTTATGCTTATTCATAATATAATGAGAAGTCAACGAATGAATGCAAATGGTGAACCGAAACAAAAAATAATTGCCAATTTTGTTAAAATGCAATTGCAGCTCTCGCAAGAGAATGCATTGAATATTTCGATGCCATATCGGCAATATATAGTCGATGTGACGCAGTTTTTTTTCTCTCTCTCTTCTGCAATCAAACTCATTGAAATGTGGATAATGCTCTATATGGCGTTGCACCCTATTCATCCGTCAATAGCATTTTATTCCCAAAAAAACCAACTGAATGCAAAACCCATAGAAAATGGTGCGCACACCGAAAATAGTAATTACATCGTATTTAAAAAAAAAAACAGAAACACACACACACATATCTACATGAAGTATGTAAATTGACGTTGCAATTCTTTGATTTTTGTGCAATTGATTTAATGGCGCAGTTACTTTACTCTTTGAAGCGCTCATTTCAAATTCGAGTTAATTGCCATAAGAATTCATTTCAAAAAGTTTGCTGCATCGATCAAGCATTCACTTTCGGCTTTATAAATCATTCTTCTCGGTTACTCGTTGCTGCGTTTTGTTTCTCTCTCTCTGTTCGGATTTCGTCTACTTTTCATCTCACAAAAGCACTGAGCCAACTCTGCACCAGATGGAATCAAAAATCGCTGACTGCGTTTTGTGTGTGTGTGTGTGTTGAAATGAGTAAAATGTGTTGCGTCATGGAATAACGCGTTGTGTATCGGGTTTTGTTTGCAATTTAAATGCTTTTTTCTCTCTTTACGTGGAGATGATTTATATGAAACCATGTAAAGGCGAACACACATAATCATTATGGATTTCGTTTTGTGTGTTTGTGTTTTTTTTTCTTCATTGCGGCACAACAACAATCCTCATGTACGTATTACATTGTATCGCCATTAGCTTTTGTATGTATTCCGAATCCATGTGTATCTATTGTTCAACCGAAATGAACGCAACGAATTTGACACATTTTATTAATTGCATGTAATTAATATCATTTGGTTGTGTTGAATGTGTGAAATGATATATTCCAAAATGGAAGCGCGTTCAGTTTGGACGAGATTTATTATTGAGCTCGAGTAATGTACCGTGTGGTATTCAACCCAAGCCGCGATGATGACTTAATTCATTCAAGGACAGCGGTGTTGCTTCGATAATTGGATCAAATACAATTTTGGAGGATGAAACAAAGTAAAATTACTTCGAAAGAGAGATGATTTACTTTAATGACATCAGGCTTGATTTGGAATAGAGAAAAATGTTGGAAAAAACGAAAATTTTCGAAGAAAAAAGGAAATTTCAGACAAAAAATTTCTTTTCTTCTCAAATTTTCTGGATGGAAACTATTTCAGAAAATGTAGCTAAGAAAAATGACATTTTCAGAACTTCTTCTGAATCAGAAGGGTCATTTCAAATTTAGAATCGACATAAAAGAAATTATTTTTAAAAAAATCTAAAATTGCACATACCTCGATCAACGATTTTGCCAAATAGATTTTTGCCACGTAGAAAATTTTTCGTCGAACAGTTCCATCTTCGATTCCGAAATTGGTGTTGACATTCTGAAATGGCGAGGTTGGCACCTTTGACTAATGCCGCCAACACACCCGGATTTTCACGTACCAATCGCCGTTGTCTGCGCCGCAGTGTTGTATGGATGGCTGGGTCCATGTACACGATGCTCGATGTTAATGGTGATATATTATTGGGTTCGCCAACTTTTGCAATGCCCCTGTTTGAATGAGAGGAAAAAAAGAAGTGATGAAATTGCTTGAAATGGATTTAAGATGATTTTAAAGGAATTCCACCTAGAATTACACACTGAATGTTTCAATATGATCTCTTAACATTATATTTTTAATACGCTCTCTTGATCCGACGACATATTTCACATTATCGAAAACTCAAAACTCATGAAATTGTGCCTTTGGAAAACCACACCAATTTAATAAGCCATAAAAATTGTTCGGCGTAATTTAAAAGCAAACACTTTGACAATACCTGAGCCCAAGAGCTAAGCAAACTCTCAAAGAAATCACTCTAACGCAGCATCGAAAAAAAGTATTGTTTATCTACATTTATTTCATGTATTCTATTTCAAAAGATGTTTGATGTGTTTTTGTTTCTTTTGTGGCTTTTATCACTCACACACCAAAATGATACACTAAATGGCGCACAAAGTACCCCAAAAAAAACGAAGAAGAGACCGAGATGTTTGTTTATTCCCAAAAAAAACCGAAAAATTGAGCAGTAAAAATAACAACCGGCCAAAAGACGTTTTGCCACTTAAGAGTAAGTCATCTGTAAAAATATCGCCAATGCGCTTGAAAGCGAAGACACACCGAGGTGACATGTGTGTGTCGTGCATATCAACTAGCGCACGTTTTTGGTGCAACGCACCAGGAAATGGTGCGTTTTTTTTTCTTCTGAAAAGTCTGCCATCGATATCTGTGCACACTCTGTGGTTTGAAGTGGTGAATTTTTTTTCCTATGTCTGTTCGGTGTGGCTACCTCCAGTAAAATCAAAGTGCATTCTGTGTCTGACTATTTATTTGAATAAGCTTTGGATTGGATAGTGTATTTTTTTGTATGTTGTTTGCACATTTTCACAAGAACATGTGTATCTGTTTTCTGGTGTTTAGTTTCTGTTTTGCCTCCTTTCATCCACTTTAAGGCGCTGCACTTTCAATGTGGCGTACATGTTCAAATATTCAGATGTGTCAATATTTACTGTTAGAATTAACCTCTTCGTTTCGTTCGTCAACATGCTCGTTCAAGTTTGTGCATTGATTTTTTTTCTTTCAACTTTGTCTTCTTCGCTGCGTTTCGTTCACATATTTTCTCCAGGGGCTCAGGTGTTTTCTCTCTGATTTTTTTTTCTTCGGCGGTTGTTAACAAACCATCTGGTTTGGTTCGTGAATGGTTCTGAATTGTAACGTTGTATGCATCGGCAAACAAAAACCATTTCGACCTTTTCGATTGTGTGAAATTGGCCGCGCAATCAGAAACAGAACAGAACCGAAACAACCGAAAAAAATATCAACGACTCTGTTTTTTTCTTCATTCTTCTCTGGTGAAGCGGCGCTGAAAGTGCGTTTGATAGGTAATCGAATCCGTTGTGTTCGGATCTTTGTCGGTAGGAACCATACCACCGATCAATGAATCACTTCTCTTTTTCGTGTGTTGCTGTTGTTGTGTTCGGCAAAACTCTTGAATTGCTTTGATCACGTTGGCTGTTTGTACATTTGTTTGTCCACAGTTTAAACGTTCTCACACGCTCATTCATTTCGACTGGACCGATCGATCGTGACTTTTGTTCTTCCATATATCTGTTGCAAGCAACGCATTGTTTTTTAAAAGCGTAAATAAATTACGTAAATATTGAATTTACCAAAATATTAATTACTTAATTGCAATCAAATATCAAACATAGACAAATCCCGGCGAAACAATAATAATTAATAAAATAAATAAATTAAAGAAGAAGTGTTTGGTTTTAGAATATACGGTGAAATAAGTTGAGTTGTTCGTTCATTGATTCAGTCGCGAGGCGATTTACGGTGGAGAGAAAAAACGAACGAACAGAAAAAAAATAGACAAGACAAACAGTTTGGATAATTTAATGCCTTTTATCTGAAAGACAAATATTGTGTTAGAGTCAGAGAAAAATGCAATGGCTTGGTGAGAATGTTTACCGAGGCGGTGAAACAATGAACGAAAATAGACGTTCAATGAATGCGTATCGCCTATTGGCTTATGAATGACAAATAAATGTAGCGTGTGAACGAATCAAACCATTTATCTTACTGCTCTGCTGGCTGAGTTCATTTTAATGGGTACGATATTACCATTTAGCTGCTGGCTGCTTCGGTTCCATTTTCTTTTTCATTTTTTCTGTCTTATATTTTTATTAATATTTATTTTTTTAATGATCCGCAAACGCATTAAAAGAATGAGATTGGGGTTCGTCGTCTTGAGTCTTTTTTACGTGCGTTCGTCAAAATTATCACCGGAAAACGCTCGATTCTTCGAGCCATCACAACGAAACAAAGCAACCAGAAAAAAAAAATGATAAGTTGAATGAAGTAAATTGAAAAGTTAGCAGTTGTTTAAAGCAAAAGTCCGTTGGATGAAGGAAATACATAAAAAGCAGTGCGTTTATGCGATTTCAATTGAATAACCCAATTAAAAACGGTTATGCGAGAAAGAGCGTCGTTTCGTATTGTTGTTGCTAGTGGTGATGCCGCGTGAGTTGCCAGCGTTTTTACTGGATTTTATTGATGTATGTCAATTGTTGACGAGTCGGTATGTATCGCATGTGTGTGGCATTTGCATTAAAATTCATTTACTTGACTCAAATAACACTGTATAATGTACTACAATTTAATTCACATGATATTTCTCGCACTCTAAACTCACTCCGCGGCGAGACAACAACAAAACGACTTTCCTGCAACCAAAACGAAAGAGACTTTCCATCCGAGATGCGAAAACGACGTGCGCACATTCAATCTCTCATCGCTCATGCGGAACATTGACACATGTGACAAAATGCGGTTAATACATTCGCCGTGTCTCTCTCTCTCTCTCTCTCTCTCTCTCTCTCTCTCTCGCACGCTCGATTTTATGATTTGTGTTGTAAACACGTTGCTGTTTGTTGGCAATTGCAATTGTTGTTCAGATCGAAAGTCTTTTGAAACTTGCTCTGCGTTCGTCAATATGATAATAATGAAATCGATGAGATAAAAGACGTTGAAGCGACAATGTGCGCGAAGCGCGAACCAACCACATCGATCAAATGAACAAAGTGAAAGAGCGAAAAGAAAGAGAGAGAAAAAATGCACACACGAGACAATTCAGAAAATGTCCATCACCTCTCGCAGCAATCGCATTTGGATGCGCCGATAATATTATGCACATATATTTCAATGGCGATTTATTGTGTAAACTAATAAATAAAATTACTGAATAAAACGTCGCTTGAACAGGCTACAAGTAATACCCGTTTCTATACGGTACATGGAGTCGATGTCGTTGTCTTTTGTGAGCTCTGGCTTTGGTGGTCACATTAATGAATGCTGCTCCATTCGCTGACACCGATTGTAAAGTCACAACACAAAAGCCCAACCACCAGACAGCAGGAGTTCCAATCATTCGAGCCCCATTAATAATACAATAGCCGCTATGCCACGCGCGCCGCCACCGCCGTTGAATTTGCAATCATAATAATAATGGAAAGAAGAATTGAGAATGGAGAACAGAAACCCAATTTCGGCTGCGGCAACCGTGTCATACATTTTGATAACGGGTAAATCACCACACCAAGCTGAACTCATTTCGAGTAAAACCGAACTCAATTCAATTAAATCCGAAAGAGAGCGAGAGAAAATTACATAAATAATTAACAAGTTTCACCAAAGCTAATGACCGCACAACGCGAGTGATTGTGACGAAAACAATATCAACGTTTTTTTCTTCATGTCAAATCCCGCATTCAATCAATCGAATTCAGCATGCGAACTGCTTCAGCCAAATCTCAAAATTCTTGCTCATTATTTTTCGGTTTGATATTAAATCAACAGAAAAAGTCTATATTTAAAAACTCCGAAAGATTTGATGTTTCATTATAAAAAGCAAATTTGGTGAGCAAAAAACCGAGAAGCATGAGTTCGATGGCAAAAAAACGAGACAGAAAAACTTCATTCACAATGGAATTCTGTCCACAAATCAATCGGTTTTTTCGCTATGTTTTCCATTCGATATATAATTTATTTCGTATTTAGTTGTCGCGGTAGAGATAGCCGAAAACAGTCTCGAACCCGAGAAAGAAAAACAAAATATTTCCATTAAATTATTATTATTATCGGCTCTCGGTTCGAATCGAGATAGTCTCCGATTGTATAGTGTTGATCGGACTGTGATTGGAATTGAGACGGGCGTCTCAGGCTACTGGCCAAAATGATGCGCACGGTTTTTTCCGTCGTCAACGTCGTTGTTGTTGTTGTTGCTGATGTCGGTGCCGTGAATTCTTTGTGCTTTGTAAAAATCTGTCTTAAATTGGATAAGTGATAAAAAGTGAATCGTACAAAAAGGCTAGCGTAAAAAATGCATAACATCGCCATTTTTTGCTGACTGCCTGATGATACAGGAAAAAAACACAGAGAAAAAGCGAAAGAGAGAAAAAAAACAGTTGATTGTGATGAATAGTGTCTCCTTATTGACGACGATGACGACAGAAAAATGTAGCGAAAAAAAACGAGCAACAACCAACTGACAACGCACACACGGAGAGCAGAAATTAAATTAAAATTCATGTTCATGCGCACCGAAAATGCGAGCAACAACGCGGATCGCTTTTAAATAATGTGCATGCCGAACCAACTGAAATTACTTGGACTATTTTTTCTTCGCTTGGCAAGATGCGACACGAATCGCGCAGGGTGCGAAAGTTACAGCTGAAATTACAAAGGCCAAATGCGACAAGGATTCGTGTTTTCAACATTGTGATCAATAAGCTGATCGCTTGTGGAATGGAATTTCTCTTTGTACATACAAAAAACCAACATTTTTTTTGTTTCTGCTGCTGCTTCTTCTTCAGCTCCAACGCGTTTTTCTTTACAACCACTCCATCACTAGGTGAACAATCGAAGTGAAAAAAAACGTTTGAACAATGAATAGCGTTCCATCGAATTTCAGAACAGTTCCGTATAGTCGTCACACCAGTTCAGAGAC